TGGGGTATTTAAATACTCCGAAATTACCATCTCTTTTAAGGGTCTGAGCGGTGGTGCAGAGGGTTAAGGCGTACCTGTTATGCCAGTTGCTGGAAGGCTTCTGTGCTGGCTAGGGTTCGAGTCTCCTGGTGGGAAAGTGTTCTAAAGTTGTATACTTAACTCTCGTGTTTAGGAGAGTTGTGCCTTAAGCAGAGACACTGTGTCTTCCCATATTAACAGGGACTTGATGAAATTAACGTCTAAATGACCCCTCACTTGCTCTGGTGCTCTTGGGAGGTGTTGATCTTTGGGGTATTTAAATACTCCGAAATTACCATCTCTTTTAAGGGTCTGAGCGGTGGTGCAGAGGGTTAAGGCGTACCTGTTATGCCAGTTGCTGGAAGGCTTCTGTGCTGGCTAGGGTTCGAGTCTCCTGGTGGGAAAGTGTTCTAAAGTTGTATACTTAACTCTCGTGTTTAGGAGAGTTGTGCCTTAAGCAGAGACACTGTGTCTTCCCATATTAACAGGGACTTGATGAAATTAACGTCTAAATGACCCCTCACTTGCTCTGGTGCTCTTGGGAGGTGTTGATCTTTGGGGTATTTAAATACTCCGAAATTACCATCTCTTTTAAGGGTCTGAGCGGTGGTGCAGAGGGTTAAGGCGTACCTGTTATGCCAGTTGCTGGAAGGCTTCTGTGCTGGCTAGGGTTCGAGTCTCCTGGTGGGAAAGTGTTCTAAAGTTGTATACTTAACTCTCGTGTTTAGGAGAGTTGTGCCTTAAGCAGAGACACTGTGTCTTCCCATATTAACAGGGACTTGATGAAATTAACGTCTAAATGACCCCTCACTTGCTCTGGTGCTCTTGGGAGGTGTTGATCTTTGGGGTATTTAAATACTCCGAAATTACCATCTCTTTTAAGGGTCTGAGCGGTGGTGCAGAGGGTTAAGGCGTACCTGTTATGCCAGTTGCTGGAAGGCTTCTGTGCTGGCTAGGGTTCGAGTCTCCTGGTGGGAAAGTGTTCTAAAGTTGTATACTTAACTCTCGTGTTTAGGAGAGTTGTGCCTTAAGCAGAGACACTGTGTCTTCCCATATTAACAGGGACTTGATGAAATTAACGTCTAAATGACCCCTCACTTGCTCTGGTGCTCTTGGGAGGTGTTGATCTTTGGGGTATTTAAATACTCCGAAATTACCATCTCTTTTAAGGGTCTGAGCGGTGGTGCAGAGGGTTAAGGCGTACCTGTTATGCCAGTTGCTGGAAGGCTTCTGTGCTGGCTAGGGTTCGAGTCTCCTGGTGGGAAAGTGTTCTAAAGTTGTATAACTTCTCAAATCATCTAAAAGAAGTACCACCAGTCATATCCTCCCTCCATGTCCCGTCATCCTCCTCGCACCTGGTGATGCCTCAGGATCATGCCACCTCAAACAAACACTTAAAGTGAGCCAGTTCATAGTTACCGACGTCATATGCACCACTTGGAAAGCCGTCGTTCCATATATATAGAAGCCGGCCACCACCAAGATTCAGATTACTCCTGAGTGCTCTACTGAGTAGACCTGTTGACATATCACGGTGTGGTAAAAGGTTTATGCAGTCTAGCTTATAGTATTATAGCTCCATATTTTATTTGCAAATTAACGTAACAATACTATGATTGTTCATCTTGTTTGTTTTGCACATGTTGTATTAGAGCCACGCCTGGATATTATTTTGTGTTTTGTAATTTGTTTAACGTCTTTTTATTAAGTAAAGGATTTTTAAATGTTTTTTTCTCTCTGTCTTATCCTACAGTTACCTCACAGTGAAGACAAATTGTAGTCTTAACTTTTTACTATTTTTTTTGTTTATATGACTGGCATTCCATCTGCTCTAGAGAGACTGCACTAACACCTATTTTTCGCGTCATATAAATTAGGGGCCTGACCTAAGATCCTCGCTCAGGTATTGCTTCTAGACCCTTCACTTAAAGTTGTGGTAACTGTACTTGGCTTTATTACAAGTTTAGTTTTTCAGAACTCTTATCCTTTGAATAATTTTAACGGTGCTTCATACTGTTTGCTTTCCAGATATAGCATTATATGATTGTTGGATGACTTTGGATTACGTGGTGTCTTGTGGCCACAGTTATACTCGTGACTGGTTGATCCATAATCTTTGCTATACCCTGTGATTTCCACCTTATTCTCGTCCCTACAGGAGAGTTCTCATTTAGGCAGATCACCCCATTTGGTTCCATGGTACTTTGGTCTGTCTCCAGGTCAAATACGCCAACGTACTTGCAACCCGAACGTAGGAAAATATAGAGGGCCAAAGTTCCTCGCTCATGGACTATGCTGTAAGGTTGGGACCCCTACAAGCAGTTCTCGTCATTAATTGACACTTTGCACCCCTACGTGTCGGTCAGAGATATTTTTTTTTTTTTTTTTTATTTTTACATGCGAACATGCGAATAAATACAATACAATAAATATAATAAAATAAGAAACCAATAACAAACAATCAGACAACAAAAAAATACAAAAGCACAAAGCAAATTAACACAAAGTAACACAAATACACTAAATACCGGCCTGAAGGGCCGACAACAAAATCACAACAATGAACATAAACACAATGAATCACAGGAAAAAGAAACAATACTGGACAGAAGGGTAACGGAAATACAATAAATACAACAAAACAACAGTCATGAAAAACACAACACCGGCCTGAAGGGCGCACAATAGGTACAATACATTGCAAACAAACCACAGGTCACAGCAAGCACACAGACTACTCAAATTGTTCATACTTATCCGGCCACTCCGCCGCCGGGAACGGAACACAATACGCCTCCCACAGTAACATGACGTCATCCGGAACAGGCACTGTATTAACAGTACGAGGATCAGGCATCAACTCCGGCACACCCACAACAAAACACCGAGCCCGCTGTACCCAGATGGAAGAAGGGCACCACGGAATAGGATGCACGCGATCAATAATGTCAAACCGCAAAGGATGCTGCGCATCATGCGCCACTCCGGAGGCCAAGACGAGAGGGAGAGGCTCCTTCCCACGAGGCCGGGCAATGGGCAGCGCACTGGGAGCCTCCCCGGCCGCCTCACAGTGCTCTGCGTCAACCACCGGACGTTGTTCCTGCCGGGACCCCCCACGCTTGGCATCCTTCTTCAGTACCAGCTTGATGCCTCGGCGTGCACCAGAACTCTCACCATCCACGTCAGTAGGAGCAACCACCCCCCACTGCGGAGAACCTTCTGCAGGAGAAAGAACAGTAGGTAAATCATAGGTACAAACATCGTCAACAGCAGACACATGGACGTCAGCCACCACCAGCGTCGTAGAGAACGAAGCACCCGTAGGCGCCACATCATCTCTCGAAGCTCCACCTGCGTCGTAGTTCTCCGCATCAGCCCAAGCAGTAGAAGAACGCCTGGACCGCTTGGGCACTGGCCGCACATCCTCACAGCCGGAGGCGGACCCAGAACACCGGGCCTCACGAACCGGGCGAACCGACGCCCGTCGCAGAACGGCAGCAGCCTCCACCACAGGGGGAACCGGACCACACACAGCAGGAGGCACCGCAGCCACCCCAGCACCCAGCACAGGAGGAACCCGAGGGGAGGACGCAGGGCCAGGGTCCACAGTCAAAGACGAGGAAGCCGACGGCGACGCTCCACAGGGATCACCAGGAAGGTCCACGGGAACGCCAGGGCCAGAGACATGGTCAGGAGGAACATCCGACGGCACCGCAACACCCGGAGGAGGGTCTGCAACAACCGGGAGAACGTCGGGTGACACTGGGGGAGCCGCAGCAGCGAACGGGACGCTCACCTCCTCACCCCCGGAGTCCTCCTCCAGAGGGAGCGGCGGGAAATCCTCTTCACGGAACAAGTTCACAGGAGCGACCGGATCAGCAGTACACCCGGCAACCTGATGCCCCAACAAGCCACACCGGAAGCAAGTACGGGGTTGCCGGGCATAAAACACACGCACGTAGTACCCCAGCAGCCGGACAGAGCACGGTATGTCCGACCTCAGTCGCATCCCGAGGGTCCGAATGTTGGTCTTCACACCCGAATACGTGCCAGACGACAGTGAGTTCATCGGCACACTGACGACGGAGCCGTACCTCTGGAAGAATCGCCGGAGGAGAGTCTCAGGAAACTCCATGGGGGCGCCATGAACACTGACATACGTCACAGCACCACTACGGTCTGAAATGGTCACAGACCCGGTGCTGTCCTGTAGCTGCAAAGTACGTCCCTCGTACCTCCGTAAGAAAGCACGGTACACCGCCTCACCCACAAACTTGACAACAACACGGTGAGCAGTTACCAGCTCAATGCCATATACGTCCCCAACCGGGACACGAAGCATGGCACTCAATACCACGTCCACCAGTGGGTATCCAGCACGGCCAGTAAACTCCAATCCGATGGAGTTTACCCTCACGACAGGGGGAAGATGGCCGCCCATCGTAAAAGCGCCACGCCCACACCACCAGGAACAGCAGGGAGGGTAGAGACACCCACACCCCCTGCCGGCGAAAACGGCAACCACCTGGGTCAGAGATATGGTACTTACACAGGTAGTGAGTTAACATTCTTTTCCAGAGCACACAAATATTAATTATGTAAGTCCTATCTAGTAGGAAACCTCTTACCTTTGTTCTCGCCACTTAGAGACAAGGTAAGAAGTCCCTACATCTTTTGAATAACCTTCGAGACAATTGTCTCACAATTAAAGTAGGATCCCTCTTGCCTTTATTCATGTCATATAGAGTACCGGGTACAAGATTCCCTACGACCCTGAAACACTTAGTTTTATTTTTTATCTCAGTATCAATTCCAATTCACAAAGTTAATTGTTGTAAGCTTGACTATAAAGTTTAAACAGGATAGTTTACCGTTGCCACGTCATCCTGTCACTCCGACATTTCATATTTTGGTACATCCACCTGGGTATTCTCTAGCATATATTTGCTATCATTCACCATGTTTCGTCTCTCCACATTCAGGCAGAATCCAAACGATGAAGTGGGCACACTAGTTCGTGCCACCAAGGCGGAGATACTAACTCTAGTAAACGAGTACAACCTTATGGCCCCACATGGAGCCACTAAAACTGATTTACCCAACATCATTTTGGACCACTTATTAGATAATGATGCTATTACACCTGAATCTCATGAACAGTATTTAATTGCAGACAAGAGCGCCTTGGCAGCCATGAAATTGAAGCTAGAACTCGCTAACGGGAACGCGAACGTATGAAGGAAGCACTTCAACTGAAGGAACGTGAAGCCGCCGTTCAGAGAGAAGCTCTTCAGCTCTAGAAAGAACAAGCTGCCCTAGAACGTGAGCGTGAGAAGGAAGTGCTTCAACGGAAGGAACGTGAAGCTGCCCTACAACGTGAGCAGGTTGAATTCCAACGAGAGCGTGATCAGGAAATGCTCGAGTTCCGAGAACGGGAACTTGAGATACAACGTGAACTCTAGAAGAAACAAGCCGCCATGTCTCTAGACCACCGTAGAAAAGAGCTTGACTTAGAAACTGCACACCACACTCGGCGCCAGACAGCGAAAGCTAACATTCCGGTACGTTTTAACCTTTCTCATGCAATTAAGTTGATGCCATCTTTTGTTGAGGCAGAAGTAGATGTCTTTTTATACTTCATTTGAGGTTCTGGCTAACCAACACTGCTGGCCTCAGGATCAGTGGTCTGTGCTTCTCAGGTCTCATTTAACAGGTAGAGCTGCACTGACTCTCAGTACTATAGCGTCCGAAACCGACTACAAGGTACTGAAACAGACAGTGCTCGATGCCTACCTCCTCTCTATCCAACCCGTTCTCGCAAATTCGTAAAGTCAATATTGACTTATTAACTACGTGCATAGGTGATATACTTAACATAATAGATACCCTTAAAAAGATTCATAGAAAACACCGACCTTACCTAACCTTGTTAGTATCTTAAGATAAGCATCTTATTGCTTCGTAATTACAATTATTACTTAACCTATACCTATTATAGGTTAGGTAATAATTGTAATTACGAAGCAATAAGATGCTTATCTTAAGATACTAACAAGGTTAGGTAAGGTCGGTGTTTTCTATGAATCTTTTTAAGGGTATCTATTATGTTAAGTATGTCACCTATGCACATATTTAATAAGTCAATATTGACTTATTAAATTTGCGAGAACGGGTTGCTCTATCGAGACCTACAGACGTAAGTTCAGAGATTACCTTAAAACAAGTGCTACCACTAATCTAAAGTTTGCAAATAACAAAAAGCTATATTTTATGAAGCGGCTGGAAGCCGCAGGAGTCCCCACCTTTCACCTCCACCTCCACAGATCTCGTCAACCTCATCCTGGTGAAAGAATTCCTTAGGCGTGTTCAAAATCCAATACGTCTCTACCCAGCCGACAAGGAAGAAACCTACCATACTAGATGTGCTCAATTGGCTGACTCCTATAGTCTTATTCACAGACGATGTGGTGGTGTGGTGGAGGCTGACTCCATACACAGTTTCAAATGTAGATATGATAGAACCCAGTAGGGTCAGGAATCTGTACACCAGTTCATTGACAGTTGAGAGGCGGGACCAAAGAGCCAAAGCTCAACCCCCGCAAGTACAATTAGGTGAGTACAATTAGGTGAGTACAATTAGGTGAGTACAGAGTACGATCCGAAACACCATCTAGTAAGACCTCCTGGTATAGTCCTGAAAAAGTGAGTACCAGTTATGTGAACTCCTCTTAGTCTTTGCAATAATTGCAATACAATGGGCATACCATAGAAAAATGTACCAATCCTCACTGTAAGGTCAGCAGTGAAAATATGCACAAATCACCTCCTCGTCATAAGAGTCCTAAGCCTGTGATGAATATTTTTGTTTCATCCACTGATCCCTCTTTCTCTTCAACAGACACTTGTACTCCGGAACAGTCTCTGTCAGCCGTGGAGATTCGAAGGAAAGGTTCAAAGTGAAGATCTTGAGGGACACAGCTGCTCTACAATCTATTCTTCTGAAGTCAGCTGTACCCAACGTCACCTACACCGGATAAACTGTCCTCATCACGGACCTAACTGCCACTACTCCATATCCACTTGCCAGAGTCCGCCTGGATTGTCCGTTTATGCAAGGTGAAGTCCAAGTCGCCATCCGAGAAAAGCCTTTTCCCTTGTCAGGAGTTCAACTTCTCCTGGGCAACGACTTGGCAGAAGATCAACAACCTGCGAATCTAATTATCATCGACAAACCCCAGGTATGTGACACCGCAGTGGAAAATCCTATCTTGCAGGTCCAAGCAACAGATTCTGACGACGTCTTCCCTCCTGTTATGGTGATGAAGCGGGCCACAGCTGTTCGCCCGAAACCAGCTGCTGCAGCTGTTCCTCAAGATTCTCAGAGCCTCCCACCGAATCTCACAGTGCTGGAGTTCCGTAAGTTGCAGAGAGAGGATCCCTCCTTAACATCTTTATTCTTACAGGCTGAGAGACAATTTAACTCTATCCCTGGTTTCTTTGTCAAAAACAAAGTGTTATACCGGTATTATAGAACCAGGAAATTGAAGGAGAACGACGATCGTGCCAACATCAACCAACTTTTTTATTTTTGTTTTTATTTTTACATGCAAAGCATGCAATTTAAATACAATAAAAACTCAGAAAACATAACAGAACAAAATAAAACAAGAGACCACCGGCCAGAAGGGCCGACAGCAGAGTACAACAAAACACAAACATGATAAACTCATAGAAAAATACAGCATACATCAAGACACAAAACATTATACAATGGCAAACAAGCAAGCACAGTAACAACTCAAAACAAAAAACATTGCATAAAACAAAATATACATCAAGAGGCAGAACAGGAAACATAACAGGACAATCACAATACACACCAAACAAAACAAAAATATCAAACAATGAAAAACACACACACTATACCATCCGCCCCGCAACATACAAAGGGCGAGGCCAAAATAAACAATAATAATAATCAAACAAACCACGCAAACCAGAAAACAAACAGGTACAAACACAACAACATACATGCACTGGTCTGAATGACCGAGAATAAAACACAACATAAAGAACAAGAAACAAAACAAGACAATATGTACAGCACACAACAACCCATGAATAACAACAAAAACAACAACTACGGTAAGTGTACATGTTTGCCCGTGAGCCTGTCCTGTGGGAACCGCATATTGAACGCCTCCAAAAGCAGCCACGTCGTCCAGGAGGCTTGACTCAACACCGGGGGCGCCATGCGGACCGGAACCCCGGCAACAAACACCCGCAGACATGGAACCCACACGGTGTCCCTCCGGACGCGAGTAACCGCCACCCTATCCCATACACTCGGAACCTGTCCATCAGAAAAATCCTCCGGCCGGGCAAGCAGCAGGAACTCGGCAACCCGGGCCTCCAGGTCCTCAAAGCACAACACCGCAGGAGGGGGCTCGACAGAGGGCATCACCACAGGGGCATCAGCGGCCACGGGCACACCACCAGACGACTGCAGGGAATCATGGCCGGACGGATCCTTACGTAAAGTCACCACCAGGCCACGCCCAGCACCAGCATCCGCACCATCCCTGGCAGCAGAAGCCACCACACCCCATAGCGGAAAGCCCCCGGACGGGGAAGAAACCGGAGACACACCCGAGACACGGGCATCAGCACCAGCAGGCATATGAACCTCCACCACCACCACCCGCAGAGACAACAACTCAGCCGGATCCACGCTGTCAACACTAGAAGGCCCACAGTCACCGAAGTCCCCACCATCAGCCCAGGCCGTAGACGAACGCCTGGAACGTTTGGGCTCCGGCCGGATATCGTCAGAGCCGGAAGCGGACCCAGAAACACGGGCACCACCAGTCGGACGAATCGACACCCGACGCAGAACGGCAGCAGCCTCTACCACAGGGGGAACCGGACCACACACAGCAGGAGGCACCACAGGCACCCCAGCACCCAGCACAGACGGCGAGGGTGCAGGGACCAGGACAGACGCAGCAGAGGAAGAACCGGAAGACGAGGGGCCCGAGCAGCTGGCAGACGGAAGAGGCTCAGGAACACCAGCCGGAACAGGCGGAGCACTAGGTGAGGACACAACCACCGGAGGAGAGGCGACACCAACAGGGGGCGCAACAGCTGAAACAGAGGGCACCTCCTTAGCCGAAGAGACGTCCACATCCACCGAATCATCCCCCACAGGAAGTGGCGGAAAATCCTCCTCACTAAAGAGATTCACTGGTGCAACGGCAGGCGCAGAACAGGCAGCAGCCTGATGGCCCAAAAGATCACAACGATAACATGTCCGCGGCTGGCGGGCGTAAAACACCCGAACGTTGTACCCCATAAGGCGCACAGTGGATGGAATATCCGCCTGGAGTCTCATGCCCAGGGTGCGAATGTTAGACCTCACACCCTTAAGAGGACTAGAAGACACCACGTTCACCCTCACACTAACTACTGCGCCAAACCGGCCGAAATACCGCCGTAGCAGAGCATCTGGAAACTCCAAGGGAGCCCCATGCACACTGATGTAAGTAAGTGCACCACTTTCTATCAGAGAGGGTTACAGTGCCCGCACCATCCGGCAGGGGTAATGTCCGCCCCTCGTATCGCCGGAGAAAATCGCGACACGCTACCTCCTCCGTGAACTTCACAATCGCCCTACGGGCCGTTACCAACTCGACCCCATAAATCTCAAACACAGGGACAGAGAGCATATCACAAGCCAGCGCAATCTCCGGGTATCCAGCCCGCACAGAGAACTCGAGTCCCACAGACTGAGCCCGGACGACAGGGGGTAGAGGGACCCCCATCGTAACGCCACGTCAGCACAGGCAGGCAGAGACACACCCGCCCCCAACCGGCCGAAACTGGCAAACAACACCAACTGCTGGAGCGCCGAAGCAACACGTCTGTCCCCTACCGAAGCTAGGGCTAGACCTGTTATGGTGATGAAGCGGGCCACAGCTGTTCGCCCGAAACCAGCTGCTGCAGCTGTTCCTCAAGATTCTCAGAGCCTCCCACCGAATCTCACAGTGCTGGAGTTCCGTAAGTTGCAGAGAGTGGATCCCTCCTTAACATCTTTATTCTTACAGGCTGAAAGACAATTTAACTCTATCCCTGGTTTCTTTGTCGAAAACAAAGTGTTATACCACCATTATAGAACCAGGAAATTGAAGGAGAACGACGACCGGGCCAACATCAACCAACTGGTAGTTCCCAACAGTCTACGATCAGATATCTTACGTCTGGTCCATGGATCTCGCTCACACTATGGCTTCTATAAGACCTACAAGGCCCTAAAACAGGACTACTACTAGCCAGGTATGATTCGTGATACCAAACATTTTATCAAGAATTGTCACATGTCTCAGATGATAGGTAACCCAAACGCTCCTCTATTAAAGGCATCCCTGATACAGTTACCAGTGTCTTCTGAGCCGTTCACCCATAC